AACCCTTTTTTCAAATGACACGTACGTTGGCAGCTCCTCGACTCATAGCTTGGCGTGGGCCTTGCGCGGGTGGGACGAGGTATTACAAGGCGTATTCGGCGTTATTTATTTCCTATGTTAGCAGCTACTATGAGTTTACTGTTCTCGACAGTTCGGTGTTGACGAGCGCCGCCGAGGGTGACACAGTGATCATTCATTGCAGACGAATTTACTCGCTTCCTCTTCCGGTAGGTCATAGAATGTTCTGGAAAAATCCATGTTACTCAATGTGTTGGTGCTACTTCCTGTAATAGTTCCAACAAAATATCGATTGTTTTGATTGAAGAGTAAATTAATTTACATCTACTAAATATAATACGTACTATATGAGCTGGTCATTAGGTAATGATCGAACAATTGTGAAAAACAGTTTGTATTTTGTACATATAATAAATAAGCGGAGTGATATATACATAAACAATGTAGTTATTTGGTTAACCTCGTGAGAAGATTCTCGAAATCTCTTCATTAGTATATTTATTGAGTTGGAGTCAGCAGATACGTTAGTTTCGTCGACATTTCTTTCTGAACGTTTCGGCAGTTATCCAGTGAAACGAAAGGTAAGTTTATAAATTGCAACCACCATAGAACAGTTTTTAACAGAATTCCGGGCGCGTGATAGCGTTCTTGTATGGACGTACATTTGTACTTGGTTCGCGGTCCCACACGTGTTCATACAGATTATTGAGGTAATTCTTTTTTGTTTCGCTTAATCGTGATCTGATCGGAGCAACTATTGTATAGTATTGTCTTTTTTTTTTCAATCATGTTGTGAAATCGAATAAAAATAGGTTTCTGATATAAGCGTCAGCGGAATTTTAAGTTTCTTTGCGATTCATTAGTTTATCCAGTGTAGCTGGCGTTCGCCAGTTTCGTTTCATTCACCTTTTATATCCTGGCAAACAAAAGAAGCGTCCACGATACATTAAGAGTTGCGATAAAACTTAATGTTGGTCTTTTTAGAAATTTTGTCTGAGGATTTTTTTTATTTGCTTTTAATATGCGAGTAATGGTCAAAGTTTTGCACTACCACGTGGGCCATAATTAGAGATATGCTGTATTAAAAAAATTCTATTTCCTTAAACTGGCTGAAAAAATATTGGTTATGCAGTTAGGGTTGTTTCCAATGGACTATCTTTTAACAGGTAGCTTCTTTTACAATTGTGTTTACTGCTCTGTTTTGCAAGCAAAATGGCGATATTAATATTTCAAATTTTCACACTTGGCTATATTACCATAATCAGGTTCAAAACCACATGAACAAAATGATTTTTGAGAACATGGCTGATTTGTGTAAACATCGGTTGACTTGTGGGTATAGTAGAGTTATCGAAACAATTTTTTTTTGCATTGTTGAAGAGTGTACTACACTTGTGCTATACTGAGGCATGGAGCTAAAAAAAGGAGTGAACTCCCTTTGATGCTATTGTTACCATGACTTCTGCCGACTATTTGGTCAACAGATAACACTTGACGGGTTGATGGGGGGGGGGATTACTGGACGTGAATATTTAATTAGTCATGATCAGACATTCTCGGATGAGTTCGGTCGTTATTACAAAGCAGGGTGAGGGACAAAAAAAAATTATAACGAAAAGATTTTACGAAAAAAATAGAATTTACCGTAGCTCAAATTTAACGTGTCGTTTATCCAAGGCACGCGTTGTCTATGAGGGCCCACACAGGAAGTAGGACAGATGAACAGAAATGAAAAACGTGATTGTGAATTTGGCTATGGGAGCTCGAACTTCAATTCAAGCTTGTTGGAAAGTACATGGAAAACACTTAATTTTATCGTCTGTGGCCAAGTATTTTATTTTAAAATCAATTTTTTGTGAGCAATGTTTTCGACATTACGAGAACCACATACATTGTAATAACTTGCTGAAAACCCGTCTGATTTCCATGACTCAAACGCAGACCTGTAGAACTGACAATACTCTTCCGTAATTATCGCTACGCGCATGTTCACCGACCGTTGACGTCAACTGCGCAGAACAAAAATGATCGTCACACCTCAGGAAGGCGGTGACGGCAGCCGGCAGAAGTCATCGACATGAAATGCGCGTAAACACAAAAGAATAATCAGCTTAAAACAAAAGATTCAAGTAGGATTAAAACCAGTGCAGTCTCCTTTTTTAGCTCCATGACTAAGGCAACATTTCGGGGTGTTATTATAGAATGGGGATCCAGAGTAAACTAAAAAAATACAATATTGGGAAGAAATTAGTAAATGGACTTCTAGCTTTGTTTCAGAATGAAAGAATCTTGTAATAGTGGGTGCAACTCAACTATTTTTTTTCCCCTTGTTTTGTTGCAGATGCCTGAATTAACAGAGGTGCCGCAAGACACTGCACCAATGGAAGAAGAGGCTGAGCTTGAGACTTTTGCCTTCCAGGCTGAAATAGCCCAGCTGATGAGTTTGATAATTAATACTTTCTATTCTAACAAAGAAATCTTCTTGAGAGAATTAATTTCCAATTCTTCTGATGTAAGTATTAAGTAAGGATGTACATGCAGAGCAATCAAATGTAGTGCCAGAATGCATGAAAGTGACAGAAGCTATAATTGACATTTTATTCTCAGATTTTCAATTAAACGTTTGTGTCGTCAATGCCAATCTGTACCAGCCATTGCTGAGAACACAAAGCATAGCATATACCCTTTATGCTATCTTGTATTAAATCACTTGCAAGTGATGTAAGATGGCCAATGTTGTGCACAGATCTCCAGGGAATCGTAGTAAAATCCAAATCTGGCAAGTAAACCTAGAGGGAATTGCAGTACATGACAACTTGGAGAAATCCCGAGGTGAAATGTCTGACAGTCTCCCATCGATGTTTTTAAGTGCCATTTCCCATAATACTGTGCATCATGATTTTCTACAGTCTGCACAGCGTAACTGATTTCAACAAACTGGCAACTATATGACCCTTAGTTTTTCCATCACATTTTGTGATTTTGTACTGGTATGGTCACTTTGCCCATTCATGCATTTGTGTCTAAAACAATATTTCGGAATACGAGATTTGGTCAGTTTATATTTGAGCAGAATATGGTTAAATGTTACTAACAAGTATAGACTTGGTTTTCCAAAAAATACATAGATTCAAGCAGGGATCTGTCCATACTAGTTGGCACTCTTACACAAGTCTGAAAACAGGGACTTGTGAATTGACCTCAGTATATTTCCAGCCATCTCAAACTTTGCATAAACATAGGTTTGATGCAGATGGTTTTATTTTTTGGGTTGGGTTCGAAACAGCAGACTAACTGCCATTATGTTTTAAAGAATGCATTTCTAAGTTTGTATATCAGACGTGCCTGGAGTGATCAATCTGTGTAATTTATTTTTTGACAGGCATTGGATAAAATCAGGTATGAAAGCTTGACCGATCCCACCAAGCTAGAGTCTGGAAAGGATCTGTTTATAAAACTAATACCCAACAAGGAGGAGAGAACGATAACTATCATTGATACTGGTATTGGTATGACAAAAGCAGATCTAGTCAACAATCTGGGTACAATTGCCAAGTCAGGAACCAAAGCTTTCATGGAAGCATTACAAGCTGGTGCTGATATTTCCATGATTGGTCAATTTGGTGTGGGTTTCTACTCTGCCTACTTGGTTGCTGACAAGGTTACTGTCACTTCTAAACACAATGATGATGAGCAGTACATCTGGGAGTCGTCGGCTGGTGGATCTTTTACTGTTAAACAAGACATGGGTATGTACAACACTAGTTTTATAGGGTCTAGTCTACATATAGATGTAGCTTTTGACATTGAAGGCAACAGAACAGAACAGAACCTGATCAGGGTTTATTTTGTCAAGTGTACAGACGTAATTGTTATACATGTGCACATCAACTTTTTCAAAAACCATGATGGGGTCAATTTCATTTAAAATTTGATAACTTGGTCACAACGATGGTTTTATTCTCAAACATTGACTGATTTTGCTGAAATTCAATATTGAGAACACAATGGATAGTATTTTTCGTGCAAATTTTGCTTAGGTATATTTAATGCAATTGAAATTGTATTATTTTACCAGTGATATTTAGATTAATACATGTAATATTTGAGGATTATGAATATTAGTTTTATGTAATTATGAGTCATTTTTGATGAATTGTTCCCACTTAAATGTTTGGCGGTATTTTTTTGTGCCATTAGTTCTCAATCCAAACGAATTTTCTTTATCTAGGTTTTCAATGGTAAAATAGTTGCAGTAGTTGAGCTTTGTTCCCATTTTAATTTCAAAATTTTTGAAATTATTGTCCCATTTTTTGATGCATTTGACATGCAAGCCAATTTTTTGATGAAATTTTTTCTATCTTTCCTCAAATATCAATTCAGTCAAATAGTTACAGGTACTGTCATTGACCATGTGCATGTTTGCAATGTATTGAATAATATAAATTTGCTGTTTGTGTACAACAGGTGAGCCAATTGGAAGAGGTACCAAAATTGTTCTATTTCTTAAGGAAGATCAGACAGAATATATTGAGGAAAAGAGAATGAAAGAAATTATCAAGAAACACAGCCAGTTTATTGGTTACCCAATCAGACTTCTTGTGGAAAAAGAAAGAGACAAAGAAATTAGTGATGATGAAGAGGAAGAAGAGAAAGATGAGAAAAAAGAAGAGGGAGATGATAAACCAAAGATAGAGGAATTGGGAGAGGATGAAGAAGCAGATAGTGAAAAGAAACCAGAAAAGAAAAAGAAAACTATCAAAGAAAAGTACACTGAAGATGAAGAATTGAACAAAACAAAACCAATTTGGACGCGAAATCCAGATGATATTAGTCAAGAAGAATATGGTGAATTCTACAAGAGTCTCACCAATGATTGGGAGGATCACTTAGCAGTAAAGGTAAAGTCAACATTTGTGCATTCAGCTGCATTTCAGACTATTAGTTTCTACTTGGTATTCTTCCTGTACAAAATGAACCAGACTCTGAATCAATTCTCATTGTCAAATGAGTTGATGGTGACAGTCCTGGTAGTACAATGGAAGTACATTATCATGCTTTACAGTGAAATAGAGCCTTAGAGAACCTCTTTCTTAATGTTCCATTACTATGGCTTTAAACTGCATTGCAACAGATCAAACTAGTGCTTTAAACAGCAGCAGATATTTTAGTTCAAGCCTTGCTTATACATATCATTAACTTTATCCTTACAGCACTTCTCAGTTGAGGGCCAGCTTGAATTCCGTGCATTACTGTTTGTTCCCAAACGAGCACCATTTGATCTGTTTGAAAACAAAAAGAAGAAAAATAACATCAAGCTGTATGTGAGGCGCGTCTTTATCATGGATAATTGTGAAGATCTCATTCCTGAGTACCTGAGTGAGTAAAACCAATTTAAATATCAAAACACAGCTTTTGTCTGTAAGGTTTCTTGTTAGCTGGTCACGTAAATCTCGTCAGATTAAGGTAGCAACAAGGAGGGCGAAGTTATTCAGATAATGCAGTTTTATTTTATGCTGTTGCTTAAAAATCCAGAAGAAAAATGTGGTCATCGAACTACTTTTTGCACACACAAAAACGAGTCAAATGCCCAAAATACGTTTGGGTATGTACATGGGCTTTCTTCTAGCTGTCTCGATTTGAGAAATTCCGACCAATACTAAATTTTTATGAAATACTTCCTATAGAAACTTCCAAAATTGCAAACAAGTTTTTCAGACTAGTGTTCTCCAAAAAAATATTTACAAGTCAATGGCTGGTGTCCGAATAATTATGCAATACTTAAATTTGATACTTTGGTGTAATTTTTAGGTTGAATACCTGCGAAAAATATTGCACGATTGTTATTAAATTTTGGTGATAACAACTGTTTTTATTAGTAAGCCAGTGTGTCCTGGGTAATATCCGACATGCCTGGACCAATTTTGTTCAAAGTTAGTGCAAAAAGACAACTGTTCACTTATGCTGCATTCATATTGTTTCGTTTTCAGATTTCATCAAAGGCGTAGTTGATTCTGAAGATCTGCCACTGAACATATCTCGAGAAATGTTGCAACAAAGTAAAATCTTGAAAGTTATTCGCAAAAATATTGTTAAGAAGTGCATGGAATTATTTGCTGATTTAGCAGAAGACAAGGACAACTTCAAGAAATTTTATGAGCAGTTCAGCAAGAACTTGAAAGTAAGTGAAAACAAGTGATTTTTCCAGATCTCTAGTTATACCATGGAAACAAGACCAAGGATACAAAACATAAATTTCTCTGACTCTTGCCTAGAATTTCACTTGTTAAATATCTTTTAATTTTTCACTTAACAAAGCCAAAGCTTATGCGGAAAGAATTTGTTCATTCACTGCATTTTCTTGTAGTCTAGTTTTGCATTAAAGTATGTTAGGTAAACATAGCAAGATTACTAGTTTTGAAACCTTGTAAATATCGCATACAAACATGCTTGGGTGATTTATGCACTATTGCATGTGAATTTTTAATCTCCAACATTTGAAATTGGGGCAAATGATTCAATAATTCTTGGGCCAACTTGTGTGGTGTTTTGTCATCCAGTAAGAATGTAGTTTTCTTTTTGCGGTTTGGCAGTTGCAAGTCCATATAATCAACAATTTTGAATTTATCTGCTCATTCAAATTGTGTTGTGCTTTTGTTTTAGCTCGGTATCCATGAAGATTCTACAAACAGAAACAAGCTGGCTGACATGATGAGGTTTTACAGTTCTCAGTCAGGAGATGAGCTGACATCTTTGAAAGACTATTGTACACGTATGAAGGAAAACCAAACACACATTTATTATATTACTGGTGAGAGCAGAGATCAAGTTGCTAATTCTGCATTTGTAGAGCGTCTTCGCAAGCGTGGTTATGAAGTATTGTACATGGTGGAGCCAATTGATGAGTACTGTGTGCAGCAACTTAAAGAATATGATGGCAAGACCCTCACATCAGTCACTAAAGAGGGACTAGAGCTACCAGAAGATGAGGATGAAAAGAAAAAGGCTGAGGAGGATAAAGCTAAATTTGAAAACTTGTGTAAAATCATCAAGGATATTCTTGACAAAAAAGTTGAAAAGGTAATATATTTTTTTAATAACTAGACAGTTCAGTGTTAACTTCACACTGATTGAAAACTTCTTGGATATTTGGTGGGTGGTTTTATTATTTAGCTATAAGACTATGCATTTGTTTGTCTTTTCTCAAGTATTTGATGACATTGTTCTATTCCCAGGTTGTTGTATCCAGCAGATTGGTGACATCCCCGTGTTGTATTGTGACGAGTCAATTTGGTTGGACTGCCAACATGGAACGTATTATGAAAGCACAAGCACTACGTGACAATAGCACCATGGGATACATGGCAGCAAAGAAACACCTAGAAATTAACCCAGACCACTCGATTATGGAGACATTAAGACAAAAAGCTGATGCTGATAAAAATGACAAATCAGTTAAAGATCTGGTAATGTTGCTGTACGAGACTGCTTTGTTGTCTTCAGGATTCTCATTGGAAGAGCCACAAACGCATGCTGGACGTATTCACAGGATGATCAAACTTGGACTTGGTAAGTTTTGACATTCATTCTGGGGTGTGATGTTGGTGTACTTTGTTTATGCTAATTCAAGCTGATTATAATTTAATAATTTATCATTGTCATATTTGGTGCAATTTTTTTGCCCAAAATCTCAATCAAAGTCCAATTTGAAAACTGTTCTCCCTCTTGCTGTTAGTTTTCACTGAACTGTTAGTCTTGCAGGTGTAGTCCTGCAATGTCACATGTCTATCAGCCAGACATGTACAGGGTTCTCCACGAGGGGTTTTTACAGGGCGCCGCGCCCTGTTATCTGAAATTGGCGCCCTGTTTAAATTGTCAGCGCCCTGTTATATTTCCTGTGCGCCCTGCATGGTCCCAGACAAAGAATTGTTTACAAAACGGGCCAACACTCATTGTCTTCCGAAGATGATTCATCGTGCTCAGGGTAACTGGTTCATTGTTTTAAGGTGCAACTGAAAATTCCGGTTTGTTATCGTAGCAGGTCACCGTGAGGTGATAACACCACCAAACAAAAAGTTACAAGTTTTTTTCAACACGATTAAAAATGAACATGTGGCCTAGAAAAGTTCATTACCGTACCCATATTTTTACTGCCAGGGTGACGT